CAGTGCAAATTGAGAGAGAGGATTTCATTAGCCAAAGACATTTTAAAGGATTTTCATTCTCTCTTTTTAGCTCTCTGTCTCTTTTTTCCTCTTTCTCTCCTCAGCCAATGAGAAGATCGACGATATCAATGGCTGCCCCAAGAGCCGTTCTCAGATGGTAGGTTTGTTTTGACAGAACATTGTGAAATCTAAGTGTGTCTGTTTATGTGAAGTAACACATCTTTTGAAGTCTCACTGAGTCATGTGGCCCTCACTGGGAGCTGCAGTGTGAAAGTCTCTGGTGAATAGTTGTAGATGGGGATGGCTAGTGCATTTATTTTTACTTTCGTGGTCTTGCGCGCCGTCCTCGGAAACCCCTGGCTCAGACTTTTGGCAGTTGGCTCTCAGTTGAAAGCATCACGGGCTTTGGATCGGGTTCCTGTTTTGCTTCATCTTGCAAAGCGCACAGCATTCCTCTCATCTCCAGGAGAGAGCTCAGGCTGGCAGCATCATCAGTAATGAAAAAGAACAATTTTACAGCCAGTTATGATGCGTTTCTGTCTACCGTGACATTTAGCATTGATTACCTTTAAAACTTTGCTCATGGGATTTCACCATTTTCCCAGTTTTGTGTTCTTTATGGGGAATGAACTGATAGTCCCTCTGATGCAGGGTTGCCCTGTGTGCAATGTGAAAGGTCATAAATTGGACCAGTGTGCCAGCTGAGGTGGGTATTTTTGGACACTAGCCAGACTACTGAAGCCTCTCCAAGCACCAGAGAGAGAGAGAGAGAGACATATACACCCATAGTTAACAACTGAGGTGGAAGAACAGCTGATCCCTGAATCCATCGTCTCGCTGCAAACATGCATACCCACACTCAACCATATTGTTGTCCAGATTGATATATAGTGTTGTTTTTTTGTTTTTTTTACATTTTATAGTGCTCTCGTATCATGTTTTGATGGTGGTCTGTTTCTGTGTTCTGCCAGTTACAAGTTTATTTAATAGAGCTATGGAGAATGTTCCATCTTTGTAGATAATAACGCCTCAGAGGATGTTAGTCAGGATCTATTCTTAGTTTATCATAACTGAAAATATGGAGCTGGGGCCTGTAACATTATTGGTCTGGCTCTCTCGGGGCTACCTGGCTTCACCGAGCATAACATTGGTCATCCTGGATAACTGGTATCGCGAAGCTGGTTATGAGCACTCAGTTGACTCTGGGTTTTCCAGTCTACCTACGAGCATGTTGTGTGAAAGAAGTGGAGTTGTTACTACATGCAACAGGATCAGAGCCATGAATAAAGTACTTATTATGAAATGAGATACTTGCGGGAAAATGTGGTTGTAGCGACAGCCAAAAGGGATATTCAGTGAAGCTGTAGAGGCATTCCAAGTTAATTAAAAGGCTAATGTTATAAATAGGTGAAGACATTGGTGCAGAATATGTTTTTAGTAGAGAGTGAGAATGTTTTGTTTTTTGTCTGATGATGAACAAACTATTAACAGTAAAGTTAACAGTCATGTCAGACAGTTTGTTCTGTCAAAGCAAAGAGGAGGGGAGAGTAAGAAAAAAGTAAAGTTTTCATCATGGAATGTCATAACAGAAGTTCCACCTATCAGTCACATGACGGCTGGTTGGTAAAACATGTTAGTTTTATAGAGGTTTTTGAACAGCGATTTTAAGAATTCATCAGTCTCTATATTTTCAGTTTTACAACTGCTTGAATATTAGCTTGCTATAGATTTTTTCTTTTCCTCTGCGGAAATGCATGTGTGAACTCACGTAAAAATGACTCTTCTCCCTCTATACTCCCTGTCCAACTCACTATCAAATATGTGCCCCCTCCAAGTCATCTGTAATTGAGCATTTGTGCTCTGTGGTCTCAGTGGTCTGGGCATCTCGCTGTGGTTTGTTGTACTGTTAGCATTTATATCTTGTACAGAATTATCTCACAATATCTCACATCTAGCCTCGCTGCTATCACACAAACACAGCAGCTTTTTCAAAAGTCAAAAGGGTTTCACATACTTTTGACACAAATCTAGTGGTTCCAAATATACAGTTTAGTATAGCAGCGGTTGTGTCATGAATGTCTTTAAACACTGTGTGTGTCAATCATGGGGCAAACAAAAACTCATTTTTATAATGTGCTTTCAAGCAACGAGCGTGCTATCATATTTTGGTTTACATGGAGCTCAGGTGTGTGTATGTGAGTACTTTTGGATTGGTGTGTATAATCTCAACAGGCTTGCCAGCTCTAAAGCAAACTCTGACGCACCAAGCAGCGCTAAGGGCAGGTGCAGCTGCAGTCATTATGCAAATGTGTGCTTTGTGTGTTGTGGCACTGTCAAAATAAACAGACACACATGCAGACACACACTGGTCCTGAGAGTTTAGTTGGCTGCTGGGTTGGAGGAGAATGAGAATCCAGTTTCACTGCTCTTGATTTCATTGCTTTCAAACCCCAGAGCTTCCAAAGCTGCTGCCAATTACCACCATTTAACTTAACCTCAGTGTCTAAATGAATAAACATGGAAATAAGCTCCATCGCTGGAATCAAATGTAGCATTCTCATCTCTCACACTCACTAGCTGAAAGCATCCTGGCTGAAGTATGGGGGTGTTTTTACAACTGGCACATCCTTGTTAAACAAACCTTTATTGTTGGGTCATTCTTTTGCCACCCAATCAGACTGTGTTTGTGTGTGTGTGTGTTTATGATCGCTCAGCCTAGAGCAAGGGTGTTGATTTGACACTGAACTGTTAAAACCACACGGAATGCCACTCAGACACACGGGCAAACATGCACAAGTGTCTCATCCAAGCAACGGCTTGTGAAACTGAATTGGACCTGCTAAGGCCTAAGAAAATTTTTTATTAGCAAACATTTAATTATCCGCATTTCATTGGATAAACTGGATCAATTTACTTCACATACTCTGGGCCATCATTTTGAAGTTAAGTATTACACAGCCTTGTGCTGGTTTACTGTATACTTGACCCTTGCATGGGGATATGTACATGCACATTGAGAGCCGATGTTCCAGTCAAATTCATCGTGTGTCCAACACACCTGGCCAATAAAGCAGATTCTGATTCTTATTCTGAGGAAAAAAAGTAGATTTTAAAGGTACTATTTTGTTAATTGAATGTAATTTATATATATATATGTGTGTGTGTGTGTGTAATCTATTTATAAGTATGTCCACCCTTATTTTGTTGATTATAGAAGTGAAAAGACGTACAGCATAAATACTAATACTAATTTTTACTTGATCAGACCCACCTGGTGTTTAACCTGAGTGCACACAGTCTTATGTGTCTCTGTATTTTTATTCTATCAGGGGTCTTTAGTGTGAAGTTCACAAATTCAGACTGGTAGGTTGATGGCTGCAGTTTGCTTGTAGTAGTTTTATAGATAGTGAAGCTATACGCAGGACAAGACACAAATGATGTTTTATTAATGATTCCCCTGCCTGGTTAATGTTTGATCAAAGGGAGCGGTACTTTCCATGTGTAACAAAGAAAGGGAGAGAGTAATCCCCAACTGTGTTAGCTAGTCAGACCTCAGGTCCTAGACTAAAAGTTAACCTTTTTTGTCTGAAGACAGTTTTTCTTTTACATTAAGGCAACAAAGAACTACCATCTACAGGGGATGGGTAAAAGAAACAAAAATTCTTCACTGAATAACGTAAGCCTATACAACAGCTCTGCATCTAAAACTGCCAGTGTAGAGCTTCTGATCATTTTGTCAGGTGTCCACCCCTTGTAAATACAAACATACTTTGCTCATTTGTTGCATAAGTAAGTCATCTGCTGTACTCACAGTTAGCCTATTCATAGGAACTACAGTTTGTAAATTATACAAAAGGTTTTCCTAGAAACCTCAGCCTTGGGGAAAATGTAGCTATTTTTTAAAAAGGAAAACAATTTGCAGTCTTTTAAATGAATTAAATCAAACAAAAAGTGTTTTTCACACAAATTAATGCTGCTTTGAATAAATTATTCTGCACACAGTTCAGTAAAAATGTTGATGTAGGAAATGTTTGTGCTTGTTTGCAGTAGCAGGTAGTGTGAGTCTCAGGACAATTAGGAAAATCTTAAAGTGTTAATAAAGATTAGCAGTTCTTAAAAGTAGACAAGGAGAAACATCTTTATATATAATAAAGAGACACATTGTGATTACAGGCATGAATTTAAACACACAACTGTAAGTCTATAAACAAGCATTTACAGAAACAATAGGACAGAATGTGCTGCCTGTGCCAGCTGTGCATCATTTTTTATCAATAAGCAGTGAAATCCAGCACTTCTCTGAGGTGTCAAAACGTCTGCAGACAGTTTTAGTCAAGACAGAATGATTGAGATTACATGTCAGAGTTCTGCAAGTGTACTGCAGCTGTAACCTGTGAAACCTCCTGAGAGAGTGAAGGTATGTGTGGGCAGACACTGACAGAACGAACCATACAGCTGCGTACACACACACACACATATAGTTTCACAACATGTTGTCTCATAGCTGTGTTACATGACCAGATTCCACAGTGAGAAAGTCACATGACAGAAGGATTTTGGCAGTAAATTTCACTAAAAACTGTCTTTTGGCAACTTTGGTCATATCCTTCTTCAGACATGTAACAGGCACTCCCTCCCTCTCTTTAGCTTTCTCTCAAGCATGCTCTCTCTCTCTCCTTCTCACTCTGCATCTCAGGCACACACATACTGTACACACACACACACACACGCACCCAAAGAAGTAGCATCCTCATTATAGGAGGAAGGTTTTTTTCAGAGGGCTGTTTGCTGGCCGGCCCTGCGCTGCTGTCAGAGCAGAGGTGACGGTGGCATGGATGGAGGTGTGAGACCAGGCACAGCAGTCACACTGCAAGAACAGGTCGCACATCCAGGCAGGTAGGAGCTCCAGTGTGCAGGCATACAACACCGGTGCTGGAGGAGATTTGTTGCCAGTGTGGTTTTCATTCTGAGCTTGTCCAGAGGTTCTAATGATCAGTAGATTTTCATTTGTGTTTTTTAAACATTTTTTAACAGATTTCATATTTTCAATGATTTCATCAGCCAGTTGTCTTGTTCATGAAGTTTGTGGAGGACAGAAGAGTAATGAGTCATGGGTACCAGGGATGATGTGATTACACAATGTCTCCTATGTCACTAGTGCGCCCTGGAAAACACAACATTATGGCTCTTGATCATATGTCACAGACAGATCAGTAGTATCAGTTAAAGAATACTCACTGCTGGGATTTTTTTTGAGGGACTTGACTTCAGATGTTAGATAACGTTTGCAGAAGTTATACTTGGAATCTGGAATATTGATCTTTGTATTTAGAGCGTAGCCTTAGTAACACATTGCCTGAGAGGAGGGGCTGGGGAGTATAAATAGCCAGGCATTTGTGATGTGGTATTTTAATGAAGCATACAGTTTTTTTTCTGAAGACTACTGCTATTTAAGATGCAACTATAGCAGGGATCCTGAGGCAGCGGGCATGGTTCAGGCACTCAGATGAAGTTTAGCCTGGGGTTAGAGGGGTGTTTCTGAGAGCTCTATTTTAAAGGCGCCTGTAGTATTCAGAGAGTGCCATAGTCTGCATTCCAAGTTTTTCTGCTGTATCACCTTCAAGGGCAACATATGGCAGGCCCTCTAACAGCTGTTTCTGGGGTCAGAGGTCACAGAAATGACAGTAGGGGCAGTGTTGCTGTTCCATCTCAATCAGTGACCCCAGCGCTGTTGGCCTCATTGTTCACACACTAACATGACTTTGAGAGGGAAAGGAGTTTGAAGGAAAAATAAATACAGTATAGTGGTAGTAGTAGTCATGTACTGATTAATAATAATGTACTAAAAATTGGTTTATAATCCAAGTAGTATTCAAGTAAATATTATGTGCTATAAATAGAATAATTAGGGAATGGAGTTAGCTCTTATAATAATAGTAATAATCAGGTTTTGGGTATCAATAAATTTGGTAGTAATACTGTTGTTGGTGATCTGGTGGTGGATGTAGAAAGTCTGGATCGCAGCATATACAGCTGCTGTATATATAATTAAATTAGGGCAAAAACAGAAAACCAAAGATAAGCTTAGACCTAACTATATGTGTAAAGCTACAAAAATTAAGGAAATAAAACAAAAACTGTCAGGGAACAGCAAACAGCAACTAAAGACATAAAACAAGAAATTACCAGAGAACAAAGAACTGAAACTACCCAGGTGCAAGGGGAAATCAGAGTCCATAAAACTAAGGAAATGGGCACAAGGGGCTGAGTCCATTCAGGGAAACAGAGAGCAGGGAATATAAGCTCTCTGGTGAGGAGAAGCGTGGCAGGCAAGGTGGCAGAGTTGAAAACATGAGAAGTCACAGGTGATGAAAGTAGACAAACTAGAAATGAACTGAGGAAGTGTGGTAAAAAAGAGATGATCAAGGGAAGCAAGGAGCAACAGAGTCGAGCTGGGGCAGGAGAGGATGGCATGGCACGGGAAATAATTTCAGAGTAAGAATCTGAACACAGGAAGTAGCTGAGGAACCATAACAGGCTGTGGATGTAACTAAATGTAATGTGCCAGTTGATGGAAGTAACATACTGAAGTGTAAATGTAGTAGTGATTGTAACTAATGGTTGCTGATGTAACTAGGTATGGCTTTAGATAAGGGTAGCACTAAAAACATGGTAACATGGGATTTAATAACATCAATGGGGGGGGTTGATTTGGATTTAGATATACAGTAACACTGTTGGATTTACCTGCAGTATCTGCAGTGAGAGGCATTAGCATATTTTACTAGAGGCAGCTTTTACTTCAGCTTCTCACCTCACAGCCAGATACTTCCCAACAGGAGAACCACAGAGGGAGCTGTAGGTCAAGCTAAATTTAGTTGTTGCATATTAAGTGTAATCATGTCATTAATCTTTAGTGAGCGGGACCTTCCCAGTTGCAGCCCACACCCGGCCTTGTTTACAGAGGATACAGTTCATGTGTATTTTAGTTTGGAAATCACCTGGAGTATCACTGCTGTCTCCCTTGGCTGTGAGCTTATATTTGAGTACAGATTGTTGCAGATTGGCATCAGTGTGTTATAAATCTAAAGTCACTTATAGGAAATGTCATGCTAAAGAAGAATTATCACCTCTTCAGTCCTTCTTTAGTTAATTGCATAGCCTAAAGTAGCACCTTATAACCTACCTCCAGTTGTAATATGAGAGAAATGGCTGTGCCAAACTGATATCTTTTGTTGTACCTGGTGTGTTTGTTCATCAAAGCCAGTTGGTAAACTGATTGTGCAGTCATTCATCTGCACTGGCTCTGCTTGACGACTTTCTTTACAGTATGTGGTTTACCAGCCAGCTTGATTACCAGCCAGGATGCTTGGTGTATAATGGGTCGCTGGGTTCTAAACAAAGCCTGTCTGCTCATCAAATCCTTGCAGTCCAGTGACATCTCAACAGTCTGCTCAGGTTGCCAAGGCTGCTGTCATGGCAACTGAGTCTGTATAGGTGGTTTGCTTCCTTGTAGCTCTACTGATGAAAGTCTACTTAGTTTGAATCCTGTTTTTACTATGTGGTTTGCTTCCTTGTAGCTCTACTGATGAAAGTCTACTTAGTTTGAATCCTGTTTTTACTATGTCAACATATGCCCAGTATTACTTTTTAAGCATGGCACAGGATGACATGTCATTCACTATATACAGTATAAGGCCTACCATTTCCCAACACTGGTATGTTTGTATTCTTTGTCTGCGATCAAAATAATGATTTTGGTACCATGTGTTTGTCTTGCAGCCTGATATCTTTAAAACTTATATACAGAGCTAAATGAGGTGAACACAACGTTAAGTGCATTTCGATGCAGAGCTGCATCCAGACACTGCATAGGAGTGTGCGGCGTTAGCAGATATGCATTGCCGTCCTGTTTTCTAAACGACATTTTCTAAATGTACTGATTTGTATTCCGTGTTAAATATGTATTTACTGAAAAAGGCAATCCAATAAACAGTCGGATTTAGTTTCCCATATAACATCCTATTTTTCACTGCATCAAATCAATGAATATTGAAGGATATGCAATTTGTATTCCCAACATTTTCATTCTTGTCATTGTTGATGTTCAGCATCTCTGCCATCTTTCTTTTCTAGGGAGACTTGTGGATGTCCACTTTCAGTTTAGCCTAAGAGAAACGTGCAAAAGACAAACCAACCTGCTTCCACAAATTATACAAATAAATGCATGCAAATTGAATGGAAACATGCAGGATGTAGTGCCTTACAGCCGTCTCTCTCTGTCCAGATTGAGAACATTGATGCCTGTCTCAGTTTCCTGGCAGCCAAAGGAGTCAACATCCAGGGTCTGTCTGCAGAGGGTAAGGTGGACTCCTGCAGTTCTGCTGTCACTGGAACTGGAGAGGTAGACCCAAACCTTAGATCCAGCTTCTAAACAGATGTTCTTAATGCTATGCAAGAAAGAATAAAAATGGCATCTTTATGCATAGAGACATTTATAATAGCAGGCTTTTTTGTCTGGACACAATACATTAGTGTCAGACAGTACACACATAAACGTAGGCTTGGTAAAGGCTGATTATACCATACCTTTACTCTTGCAGTCCAAGAATATGCCAGTTGGATAGACTGGAGAGCTCAAGGCAGACACAACAAATAGATTGAAACTGTTGTATTTGCAATCTACTGTTGAATACAGCTTTGCAAAAGGATACCAGTGTGCTTGCTGCAAACTGAAGTCTGGTCACTTAATCACATTGATGCCAGGTGAAGGAGCTAGAATGTTACCTTATGGCTTTGATAATATTCAAAGCAGCTCCTCAAATCTAGATTGACTGTGGAATTAAACCGAAAATATGCAACAACAAATATTATGTCACTGTTCAACAGTTGCACTGGATTGTGTATGAAGCTGTGTTGTCGTACTTGAGTTTAGTGACTCGACTACAACACTGGTATGAAGAGAAAGTGATGCAAAAACTTTGACAGTTTTTTGTGTCCATTAAAGTCAGTTGTACAGTTTTTTCACACTGGGTTTCGTTAGGATCACATGTATAAAGAAGACATTCTGCCTTCGACTAAATTTGACTTCCTAAATAGGAGCCACCAGTTACAGACAATAAAGGAACAAGTCATTGTCACAGTATAACAACGATAGGTATACTGCATCAATGACCTGGAACAGCAAGTAAAAGCACTGTGGTAGGTTAGTAGCTTCAGTTTCTTAGCACAGCCCAGTCCACTGCTGTCATTCTGAATCACTGAAGCGAGTTTCTCTACAACCTTCACTCTCATTTTTGCGTTCATCTATCATGGTTGTTCGTTCTTCACTTCGTCTGCCTTTTCCTTCTTAACATAACATGTCCTTCTCCCTGACCCACAGAGATTCGGAATGGTAATTTGAAAGCCATCCTCGGCCTCTTCTTCAGCTTGTCCCGCTACAAACAGCAGCAGCAGCAGGCCCAGCGGCAGAACTCCCAGCCTTCTCTGCCACCCACCACCCAGCCCCAGAGCCCACACCCTCCCCTGAGCCAGCAGAGCAGCACCCCAGCCCAGTTAAGCTACTCTCCGCATGGGACTCCTGCCATTACAGCCCAGAAAGCAGCACAGGCTGACATGCAGTCCAGGTGAGACTCGCTGGCCTGTTTGTGAAAATATTATGAGGATAACTTTGAAACTGGAAGACTGGGTTTGTCTCTGTATTCTCCACTTTCTTGGTGTTTTCACTGTTCCTTCATTTTGCCATCTCTGTCCTCCTGTTCACACTCCCTGTCGTTTATAACTGTAAACATGACTTCTGTCTCTGTCCTCTTCCATATCTCTCTTGTCTTCTCTTCTAGGGATGGGTCTCAGAGTAAACTACTCAAGTTTTCCCTTGGTCAGAAAAAGACATCTAGGTTAGCTTCTTCTGCCTTTCTTCTTTCTTACTCTTCCCTCTCTTTCCTCTACTATGCCACCGGTCCCATCCCATTCCTTGGAAGGTAGTAATTGCCCCTGGTCAAAGATAACATTTTTTTGTAATGTATTGAGTTTCATGTTATTTCTTTGTCTATGATTAAGGGCAATCTCTCCTACAAGCGCTGTCTAATATGCATGAGTGGTAGTGTTGAACACACAGGAACTAAAGCTTCAGGCTCCCTTTTCAGGCGCCCCAGCTCGTCTGGCAGTGCGCGTCATTTGGCCAACCTGCTAAATGGGCTGTCAAAGACCTTTAGATAACCTTTAAGTACGTGTGTGTGCTTGTGTGTGTGGATTTGCTTGACAAGCACATCCCCCATGTAATGTTACATCAATAATTAACACAGAAAGAATCTATGGCTGGAATGTGTTTTTCTAATATGACAGTGTCGTTCAAATTGAGCTTCAGACTGCGTTTGCTATGTTGTTGTCAGGAATTTTTGCATATACATTTGCCTTTTTTAGCATGCAGTACTGCATTATGTGATGATGGACCTTGAAATTGGATTTATGATGTGGTTTTGCATGATGCCCATCCCTGGTTCTGTTTTCATTGCACCTTCCCCACTCCAGCTCTTCTCCAAATTAATGGCTCCACCTTCTGGTCAGAATGTGCAACTGCATGGTAAACAGCGTGGTGCTCTGCAGTCACAAGCTGCTGTCTGTTCTAATATGTACTTTTTTAATGGCCTAGTCATAAAATATACAGACATCCTTAAATTGTGCTGCAGTTTAATCATGCTTTACTTTCAGCATGTGACATTAAATGTACATTTTAATGGATTCAAAAGAGGTAAAAGATTTTCAATGAAAAGCTGTTTCATCCAGAGTTAGTTTCATCTGCAGCTGATTTTATAAAGTATAGTATTTATTTATTGTATTAGACATTTTAGCTTAATGTGTGTGTATGTGTTTGTGTGTGTGCGTGTGTGTGTGTGTGTGTGTGGCATTTGTGGCTTTATAAAGCTGACAGTCTAAATTGATACATAACATGGGTCTTACTAGTTTGGACATTTCTTTTAGTAGGCTGACTGGTCCTGTACTGGATAATGTATACAGTACAAGAGCTGAAAGAGAGCACTGCAACCTGCTTATCAGCATCTGTCTCACAGTCCTAGGATGATGATGATGTTGCCTCTGCTGAATTAGCATATTGTAAGCCGTCTATGTGCTCTGGACTTGGTTAAATTACAGCTCGGCTCACTGACTAAAGACAACAGATTGACTGATGATATAAAATCAAGGTGTCACCAAAGTTCATCGATGGGCAGTATATCTTTCTTAGGTCATGCAGGAAATAAAGGAGCATGACGTGTCATCTAAGAATACTCACAGCTCCCTGGGGCCTGCATTCTGCAGACTGTCCATCCTGCTCAGATACCTCCACAGTGTTCTGAACTGATCTGTCTCCATTAGGATACTATAGGTATATATGGGGCAGTAGAGCTAGAGCAGGAGTAAACAATAATTGAGTTTAAATTTGTTATGCTGTGAGTATCTTCTAATCCAAGCCACAGTTTTAGATTGAAGATGGCCCAGATGTAAACATTTGTCCTGGCAACATTCACTGCTACCAAAAACATAAAGAAAGACTGCAGAGATGTGGCAGCAGTATATCCCGTGGTTAATGTAGTCATCCGTTTGAAATATACTTGACCTTGCAGAGAACACTTTGCCTTAAAAGCTTAATAGGCCAAATAAATGTTTAAGTCATGAAACCACTAAACATTCTCGATGCAGGCATTGACTAAGGTCATAAACTCACAAATTCACAATCTGAAAAGCAAAGTCAAATGGATGTTCATGAGGAGTAATTAAATGTGCTCATCTTTTTGGCAAGCTACACGTAACCATGAGTACCCCAAGGCTCTGTGCTCAGCCTGCTTTTGCTCTTTCTTTATATAAGCAACACAAGTGTTGATACTGATGAAACTCATACTCATTGCTCTGCAGATGAAACAGTTTTTTGTAGCAATACAAGCTGGTGCACTTCATAAACTGCAGTCTCTGTTCAATATTGTATAGTCTCAGCTTATTAAACTCGGGACAAAACCAAGTTAAACCAAATCTAACAGACACTGGTGATATTATGACAACCGAAGGGAAGAAAATCAATATTATAACATGTTACAAATATCTTGGAGTATGGCTTGATGGATGTCTCTCTTTTAAGCAACATATTGAAAGCCCAGGAACCTGCTGCCCTCTGTTGTTGGTGTACTGTACTGTATGCTCCTTAGGAATACACAAAGGGGAGATGATCTACAGTTGCCACCTACCTTAACAGTGTTTTTGGCTTGTTCATGTAAAATGCTCAATCCTAGTTAAGCGATACCCTTCCACTGAAGTTTAGAAACTAGACTAGATATGTGCTTGTCCCAGCAGAAAGTGTTAAAAAGCCTGAAGAACCTGTTGTGTTGCTGTTATATTTGAAATCGAAGGCTTTATACAGCAGATCTCACATCATGTCCAGTCACTGTTTTGAACTGTTTACACCCCATTTCTCCCTTTATGGTTTTATTCTTTTCTCTCCATCTCTCCTCTCTATTCATTGCCTCTCTCTGTCCCCTCACAACCACCTCTCTATCTCTCTTCATCAGACTTCCCGGGCCCACAGTGAGGGTTTCCACTGTCGGCACTGACATACCTCCAAGAGGCTCGGTCAGCGCTGCTGGGAACAGACGCAGTCAGGGCTTTAGTGATAAGACCAAAGCCAACTTGCTCCTGAACAAAGGTAGGTCTAATGTACAACCAAAGACATACACATTTACTAATAGACAGTACTTAAATTTGGTTTGGGATGACATAACACTGAGATATTGGTCTTATAAAGGTGATTGTTGTAGAATTAAAAAGCTGACCAGTTTTTGTGTTTGAACAAAAGAGTGAAAAGCGTCAGCAGCTCTTCAGCTGTTAAAATGTTAATGCTGCTGTGTTTAGGATAATTTTAAGGTGATTTGTGAATCCTCTGGGTGCTTTTTGTTGGTGGTGTTGAAAATGCAATTAGCTCTGTTGCTTTGAGACCAAGGGAAAGTATTAAACACTGTGCCAAACAATAATGAACAGTGCTGCACTGAATAATGAAGGATACATGAGCATAAAAATCAAGATGTTTTCCGTAATAAATGCTCATTGTCCGTCTTTAGTGTTTGCCTCTGTCAGGTCAATTCATTTAATTTTGAGCATAAATTAAGGCTTTGAAATTCACAACTTGAAGACAGAGACTTTATTCTCAATTCTAAAGCCTTACTCTTGGCCTTTCTATTACAAACGAGCTTTAGATGCTGAAGGTCTGGACCTGTGCTCAGTTACTAGTTTAAGGACATCTACACAGTAAGATTTAATCTGAAGATAGTATCATTTAAGTTTAGTGGGGTTTACAACCAGTGATTTTACAACTGTACTCTCATTTGCTGTTTAAGAATGAAGAGTAGATCTGTTTCCTGTCATGTACTTGCATTAGAGTCAGAACTATAGTGTCATGTTTATTAGAAACTGTTTTGACCCACTTTAACTGGCTCTGTCCAGTGTTAGCATTCTGCAGCATTTAAACTGAGCCAGTATATTTGGGTTGTCTAGTGTTGAAATCGCTTCTGTCAATATTCAGTGGGCCAAGGCTTTAGAGACTTATTGTTCACAGTCTAAACTTGTTACCCTGCATTAGGCAGAGAATTTTGACTACCTAGAGAGACACAGTGAAAGAGTGACACACACAAAGAGAGAGAGAGAGCGAGAAGGTCTGTTGTCTGTGTTTAAATAGTGATGAATTAACTGGGACCAACACTGTGAGCAGCACTGTGGGACATTTATTCTGATGTGTTCCACTGGAGACTTGTGTGTGTGTGTGTGTGTGTGCCTGCCTGTCGGATTTTGGGGGGGATTTTCTTGTTTTAGTTTTTTTTTTTTTTTTTGCTCCAGGACGTATACATATATGTGGGTTCATGAAGCAATTGACACCCACTTGGTGTAAGAGTGAAAGGAAGTGCCTTTGAATTTTCATAAATACTGATGAAATGCTTTTTATAGAAGTAAGAAGTAGTGGTAGTGGGAGGAGGTCAAACTTTCTTGCCGAGAGCTAGGTAATCAATACCACTCTCTTGTCAGTATCTAAATATGACACTACAGCAAACTGCATAATGCAAATATTTGCACATTGCAAAATGAAACAGATGAGTGAGGTAGCAACAAGACGGAGCCATTTGTCATAGTGGTCTATACAAATACAGTGTGTGGTGCGTCCACCCCATTTATATCAGTGAGGCTAGACTAAACAGAAACACCTCTCTGTGTAATGCAGCTCAATAGCAGCACAAACTACAGCCTCCGTGGTGACAATATAGTTGAATGAACATCTCTGAAACTGCTTGAACCAAAGCTGACCATTATCACCTTCATGAAGAGTGGGTTCAGTGCTGGACCGTTGTATTAGATTGCTTAAACTTTAGCTCAGTGTACACAATTAACCACCAACTGGGAAGGTATGACAATTGTTTTCATATTAAGTTGGCAGGTTCACTCCAGAAAGGTCTTTTAGAAATCAGATCAAAGTGAACTTCCCAGCATGCAGATTCATGCGTGTGTGTGTGTGTGTGTGTGTGTGTGTGTGTGTGTGTGTGTTTTGGAACATTAGGCCATATGACTGGCAGCAGGCAGGATGAGATTTGCCAGGCAATCCCCCCTTCCCTCTTGCCCTGTTGTTCACATGCGGTCAAGCTCCTCCCCGCTGACATAGTGCTGCACCACACTCCTCCTCCTTCTCTCCAACCTCCTCTTCCTGCACACTGTGGATGGCTGGTGATGGTGTGGGACTCTTCCCTCTCCGTCTGTCCACCTCTTCTTCTTTTCTTCTCATTCTGTTCATCCTGCATGTCTGCAGCACCCGTGAGGTTTGTCAGCTCGCACTAACAGATCACCTTGAGCTAGGACTGCAGGTTGTAGTTTCAGATGATTCACTTGAGCTTTGCATCAAACCTCTTAAGATATGGCAGCAGATTTAGTCAGTTTTACTGGCTTGTTGTCGTTGCTGTTAGAAATGTATGTATTTGAGATGCTGTAGAAAGCAGAGGGTTTTTGCAAGGCGATGTCAAGCTAGTTGCTCTGAAGTTTACATTTTTGTGAAGAATTAGGTTTATAAAGTAATATTGGTCAAGATATTTTGTACTACTTTTAGTGTGAAACTGACACAGAATTTCATTCTAGAACAGTTTGGTTTGGACCTCCAGCATGCATGTTGAGACTTTTGTGCTACACACCGAGACAGTATTTTTGCAGGTTCAGATGGTACGAAAGACACTTGCAGCTTCTGTTGTGAGGTGAGATCTGCTCTGTCTCAGTGGCTCAGACACCTTACCACATGGCTGAACAGTAAAGAAACAGACCTGAAGCTTCTCCTCTGCTCTGCGTTACATAAGGCAACTGTGTCTGGGTGTCCATTAAGTGACACAGAGCAGAGAGACAGAGAGAACAGGGGGCACCTGTGGTTGTGTGTCTGTGCATGTTTCTGTTTGCCCATGTATTTCTGTGTGTTTGATGAGCTGTAGCATCACTGTTTACGTATATTCATGCGGAGAAACATTAAAAAGATTCAGTTTCTGCACAGAAACCATCCGTTCCTCTTACTTTTTGCAGCACAATTACCGAGGAGCGAGTGATAGCAAAAGAGAGCAGGCTTCTGAAATTAGAAGAAAAAAAAAACGGTGTCAACCGATGCTACCTTTAATGCATTTACTGTTTGTTGTCTGCGTGTGTGTGTTCCTGTGCTTACGCAGTTCTGCGGAGCGAGTTTGTTCCTCTATCACATCTAGCAAACATATAGAGGTTCTAGGATTTTATGTTACTGAGCAGAACAAACTCCCCCGTTTGTCCTTAACATTAAATGCACAGCAGAGATTGGTACACACACCGAGAGAAGAGTGTTGACACACATGAAATTACATGGGTTTCCTCAGTTGTAGACAGGCATTAACACAAAGGAACATACAGACTCGAGCGTGACGATCTGTTAGAAGAGTTTAGAGCCCACTTCAACTGATTTCCAAAATTGCTTAGATGTTATCAGGACACGCTACTAGGAGCAGGCAGCTGAACACACCCTGAGCCAACCTCAGTGATGGTGAGACAGGGTTTTATGTCAAACACAAAATAGAATGATGGTCTGTGAACCCTTTTCCTTGGGGTTCACCTCTACTGTCATTTTCTGCTCTTTATTTTAATCTCTAATGACCACATTAATTAAGAAGTTTAGTTGTAAACACAAAAATTCCTCCAGCATGTTTCACGCAGACATCCTCGACCACACTGCAGTTAACAGTGAGCGCTTTACTTCCAGGATTTGGCCCAAGGCTGCACAGGGTCATTAGGTCAGTGACCCATTCTTAGGGCATGTTAAGATAATTATTTATTTATTTTTGCAGGAAAAGTGATTCCCCAATTGCAGTTCCTGCCGGTAATCAAAAGCTAATTTTTCAAAGTGCAGCCAGAAAAAGTGAGACTCATCTGTTGTAATTATATATGATTACCAGATTTGTAACCCTTTTGAATGTGGGGGTTGTAAACAGCAATCTTCCTTTGCACCATAAAATGGAAACCTTTCTCAGCTTGAAAATGTACATAGCTGTATCACAAAAGAAGGCAGTACCTCACTTATTACCAAAATCAAATATTTACTTCACTTTGTGGCTGCTTCATTAAATGCACACATGGAGTGTGTAATTTTATAACAGCAGAACAGGATGAGCAAAGCTTTGGTCAGCAGTGTTAATCACTTCTGTGTCACTTCTGACCCAACACGTTGAAGATTGACCGCTTTTCTTTCACCCTTGGCAACCCAACTGGAGCATGTCAGCCTCGGTCACAGGGTTCAGTCATGACAACAACCAGCTGTGCCAGTATCCAGGGCCCCATTCATGTCCAGCCTTTTATTTCTATTCCTCTCTGACCCAAAATCCAAGGTGAACCCATTCATGGACAGCACAGACCATCCCACTGGCTCACATCAAAGCTTCATTCATCCTAAACCTGCAGTGTGAGCGCCCTTATTCCCCCTGTCGGCTCCATAATCACAGAAGCTCCCTCTCTCATTCGACTACCTCCAATAGGAAACCAGCTAATAGCAACCTGACCCACTTTTCCGATTGATAGCTGCTAGCATGGCTAAATGAGCCCTAATCACTGGCTGCATTGTTTCAGGCTGCACTCACTAAATGCTAAACGGGGGAGAAAGGAGAGGCAGCGAGTGGGTACCTATTTTCAATAAGGACATGAAAGGCGCTGCAAAAATGAAATAAAGCAGAACCAAGGGGTAAACAAGCAGGTTGCATGTTTAAGAATTTGTGTAAATGAATGAGACCATATGAATGTGAAAATAATGTAGTTGATACGAAGGAAAGGAAACTTCACTCACAAATAAACTTGAACTGTTAGAATTATATGATTTGTGTATCAATACATATATAAAAACAGTCTAATTCACAATTTTTTTGTAATTTTCATACTGTAAATGGGTGAGCATCAAAGGTTTTATTTTCTTTAAAGAGTGAAAAAAACCTCGTTTTCCAAATTTAGCTCTCATTTGTCTTTAAGCTAAAACGGGAACATGCTTAATTGTGTGTTTCCTTACTCCTTAAAATACTGATGTTGTCTCTTCCTCAAATTCTTGACCAGGTTGATTGGAACAAAAAAATGAAAAAAGTGAACTGAAAAAAAAAATCTGAACAAAAATCATCCACTTGTTTTGGTCCACAGACTTTCATCAGGTACAGCGAATGGATACAGATAGCACTGGCTGTAAAAAGTGAAGGGGTTTGAATACTTTCTGAAGCCACTGTACTCTGTGTGTGTGTGTGTGTGTGTACACAAAGCAGGAGTGCTATGTTTCAACGGAACTGTTATGATTCATTCCACCCAGAGCTTGCTGCACAGGCCCTCTGTCTCAGTGGCCGTTGGTGTTTGAATATTCAAATGTTACTGCTTTGAACTCTGTGCTGCTGGTGGCACCACTCAGCATTTACACACTAAAAACTTCAGTAGCCCTCGGGACAGTCTAATTTATATAGTAAGTGCAGTGACTTACGCACACCAGGACCTTCAGCTCTTCTCTTCCTCCTTCAGTTGTTGGTAAGTTTGCTTGTTGAGATGCTGCTGAGCGTTGCTGCTTGTTGATTTACCCAGACGTGTTCTTCTTGGGTGATAAATATATAACAGTGGTTCACAGGACTGTGATCACACTGCAAAAAAACTTTTTTCTCTCCACCTGCAAGTTAAATTGTGTTGTTATCCTATTCATTAATCAACTTTACAAGGGATTGAAAAAATCAAACCAGATGTAACCAGACAGTGTTTTTATGTAAAACCAAAAGCAGCCCTTATAAGTCCAAGCCTTACAAGTGCAGCAGTGCTTTCTTGACTCGCCTGCTTGGCAGGACTTTAAAGTACTTGAGTCTGCTCCTCATTGTTTTTATAAACAGTTTGGGATGGGCTTCTCTCACTGTTAGTGCTAAGGGCTTTTTAACAGTTTTGGTGACTAGCCTGTAAGAAAATAATGGTATGTTTGGATGTATCTGCACAAACCACTTCCAGGTCCTTATAAGGCCACATTGTGTGCGGTCAAAGAACACTCGTTCTGACCGTCTGGTTTCTCTTCTCTCCTCCAGATCCTCCCTCTGCTTGAGTTTTCCTCCTCATCTGCACCTACATACAGTATTTCAGTGTTTAATAAAATGTCTGTTTTCTGGTGCAGATTCCACAGAGGGCATGACCTCGCAGCCTTCTGTGATGACTGAGCATGCTCCACCATCTGCGGTGACCGTCAGCTCCTCCACCAACATCCCCGCTGCTACCTCTGCCCTGATTCCCCCCTCATCTTCGTCATCCTCTTCCTCCTCTTCCACAGCCATCCCCCAGCCCATCAGCAACAGCAAGCCCTGGAGGAGTAAGTCAGTGAGCTCCAAGCACACCTCATCTCCTTCCCCCTCCTCCACCAGCACCCCCTTGTCTGCCATGCAGCCCATCAAACAGGAGAAAGACACCTCCTATAAGGCTTCTCCGGCAGCTGAAGCTCCTTCCAAGGTTGTCACTCAGAAATCAATGCTGGAGAAGCTTAAGCTGTTCAACAGTAAATCAGGCTCCAAATCTTCCACCTCCTCCTCGTCCTCCAATGGAGCAGGGGCCCAGAGTGACAACACTGCCCCAGCCAAGAACCCTGGAACAGGACAGGTGGAGAGAGCTGAGACTGCCTCCAACACTGACCCCCTGGAGGAAGATGATGGTAATGTCCGGCCGGGAATGAATGGAGTAGCTCCCTCAGCAGGTACGACTGTCTCTACAACTGCCAGCAGCCCCAAAATTGCCCTGAGGGGCATTGCTCAGCGCACTTTCAGCAGAGCTTTGACTGCCAAGAAGGGGTCTGTTAAAGGCCCCGAGAAGGGAAAGGACAAGGACAAAGGAAAGGAAGTGGGAAAACGTTCCTCGGTCCATGACAAGACAGAGCTCAGGGGTGAGGAGCCAAAGGAGGAAGTAGCACCTGCTGCTATGGACACAGAAAGTTCAAACAAAAGGACCTCTAAAATAGCCAGCTTCATTCCAAAGGGGGGTAAAGTGGCCAAAAAGGAGAGTTCGACCCCTGCACACAGCGGAATACCAAAGCCAGGAGGCAAAACTCAAGGAGTTGGGGGGAAAGCTTCCTCAGTGAAGGAGGCAGGGGATAGGCCTCGGAGCATGCGGTTAGGAGGTGGTCTTGGCATGCACCGCGGACCACTAGACAGAGACAGAGACAGCAGGCACTCCAGCTCTACCTCCAGCCTGGCCTCCACAGAGGGAAGGACTAGCGCCACTCCTGTGGCAGGAGGCGGCACTACACAGAGTACAGCCAGCAACACGGTCAGCGTGCAGCTACCTCAGACTCAACAGCACCACAGCCACCCCAACATGGCCACTGTCGCACCTTTCATGTACAGGTGGGATGATATTTTCTGGGCATATGCTGTTAAATATTTGACTGTGCAGCAGTGATTTTGTCAGTTTTTTTTAATTCTGTTGCCCATTTTGTAGTCAGGTCCAATTTCAACATCATCTTCATAGATGCCATAAATATACCACTGGTGGTCACCACTAACAGTTCATGTAAAAAAAAAAACAATAAGAATACAATTCTAAGTTATTCTAATATTTAAAAAGGAAATGATACAAACAAAGACAACAGAAAACCAAAAGATTGGTAAAGTTGAATTTTTCAGTTCTTGATCATCTAAACTTTTAAATAAGTACAAGTTCTGTCTATTGGCTTGTAAATGTCAAAGTTAGCGAGAACTTTTTTTTAAGCCATCACATGCTGTATATGACACTTGATTCTTTGACAGGATCTGAAAGGATGAAATCTGAATCTAGCCATCTGTGAACTGTTAACCAGGAATGTCACATCTGTTTTTGTTTGTGTGTGGATTTGGCGTGCATTGTCTTCCTGAGTGTACACATGTATCTGGGCAAGTATGTGTGGATGCTGTGTGCCTCTGACCTCTGTCCTGGTCCCTAGTGTGATAAGGATGGAGGTTCCAGTTGCTCTCAGTTTAGAGAGCAACTGGAAGCAACTGGAGTTTAGACTCCAGACACTTCCTGCACTGCTGCCGTTTCTTCCTCTGGACATTCTGACCTGCAGCAAAGCACCCCACCTCCCCCAAACAACCCTGTGCTCAATATGCAGAAGCTTCCAGCTCTGCTGTAAACCAGTTACCAGCAGCATTGTACCTATCAGAAAGGGCAAAGAAATTAGACATGTACTGTATAATCATTGATAGGAATGATCTTTTTCTCCCAACTGCTAAGGGCTAATAAACTAAAAAGAAGACACATGGTCAGAAATAATGAATTCAAGCCAGAAGAACTGTTAGTGCATGGAAATAACATGAAGATTCTGGCAATGTTAAATCATTTAAAACAGCCGTTAAAGAGAAGTTGAGATGCTGTCATTTCTTGGAGCAGTGTAAGAGGCAGTCAGTGGGTTTGACTGGCTTATACTCAGAGAGAGAGTGTGGATAGTAGCCAACAGGGACAAAGTCTGAGATCAGCCAGAGGCTGTACGTGCAATAACGGACACATTCAAACGTCATCGTCTCAAAAAGCACCAGCCAGTGCCGCAGCTGAACTGTATTGATTTAACCTTCAAAGAGACAAACTTTACTGCTGTTTTGGGCTTAGCAGGCATTCATTTTGGATCCTGGTCACAAGACCTGCAACACAGCAGATTTCATTCTTAATCAGGTTTATCCTTCTTTTGTGAAAATTTGCTGAGTATTAGGTTCCCACTAAATGTACAGTAATTGAGAATCAGTGATTTCCCTCACAATTTGTTTTCCCAGATCCCAAACAGACGGTGAGGGAACAGCGAGCACTGAGACTGGCTCAGGAGGTGGAGACATTTGCATTACCAAGAACAGCCAGCCCTCTATCGAGGACCTTTCAGGTGGGCAGTCACTTGCAGTGTAGGGTTTGTCTCTGTTGTCTCTGAACTATGTCTTATCTTTCTGAATTTTGTTACTGTCTCACTCAGGTGAAGACCCAGAGACAAGGAGGTTGAGGACTGTCAGAAACATAGCAGACTTGCGGCAAAACCTGGAGGAGACCATGTCCAGCCTGCGAGGAACTCAGGTCACACACAGGTAAAAAAAAAAGTGCATTTATTTTCCAGATTCCAGATTGAAATATTTGAGGTAAACAGTCATTTTAAAAGCCTGTTATAAAATCATTTTACTTATTTAAAGAGTACTTTGTTCAAAAAGTCAATAACAGATTATCTTGACCCCATATCGTTTAATTCTTTCTTACTGAATGCTGTTTTAAAATGGAATAAAAGAATAAAGTAATATCATCTCAGGTAAATAAGATAGATAACAGAAACGGTGCAGCACAATCACACTGGGTATTTTGCAAAAGAGTAGAATTAACTTTTCTAAAGCATTTTCTGTTCACCTTGTCAAGTCAACAGTGCTCATAGAGAAGTGTATAAAACATGGAAAACAAAACTGTACTGTTTAGGGATCATCAGCCTTCACTGCCCACTACGGTTGGTGGTAAACAGGCTAAATCAGGCAAACTGGAGGGGATCTTAGTGACTGAACTGCCTCACTGTCAACAGACCGTGTGTAGGTTACCTGTAACCTACATGTAACATAGGTTACATGTAGGTTACCTGTAACCTACATGTAACCTACACAGGGATCCTTTTGAGGGATCCTTTACTTTGCTCACAGGGCATGGCTTTTATGTTGACTTTGATTCAGGTTTAACTCTAATCACATTCCGTCCCACACAATATTGACCTCTACTCTGGCTTCATGTCTCTTAGCTGTTTGGATGAAGTGTAGACTCTATATGATCTATTTCAGGTTGTACCAGGATATCAAATCTTTACTTTCTACCCATCTGTCCCATAGGAGATAATGGCATTTGGTTGCCTGTACTATCTCAGAATTCTTTGAACAGATTTCTGTGAAATTTGGTGGGTAGGTCAACCTTGAACTGAGAAACAGTTTGGTTTGGTTTGGTGGTGATCCAAATGTGTGATATCCACTGTTAGACAGTTCTAGAAAATCACTGGACTATCTGTACTGTAACAATGAAAGTAGAGGTTTAACCAATTGCTTGCAATCATTAAATTAGCTCAGAGCACCTTTCAATGGTTTTTGTTTCATAAGGGCCTTATATTTAACTCAGTTTATTTACGCTGCTGTGTCTTGACTTATTCAAATGAAGAGGGTTTGAATTAAACCACATCAGACACAGAAAACATTAAAAATGAATGCTTAATTGATGTATGGGGTCATCTTCTGTATTGAAAGACCTGTCAGTCAGTTTTGAGTGATCGCAGGCTCTAATCTTTTTGTAAAATTACTTTTGTTAATGGATCTGCCCTTTTGTTTATATATGTATCACGTGCCTTTAATCTTTTCTCTCTGCTCAGCACCTTGGAAACCAGCTTTGATGGCGGCATCACCACAGACATCAGCAGTGGAGGCGGTAACAGCAGCAACAGCGGCAGCGGAGGTGGTCGCAGCATCCTCAGCCTGACTTCTACCCGGCCCTCCCTGTCGTCATGGCGACTGGGCCAGTCCAGCCCTCGTCTGCAGGCGGGTGATGCCCCCTCTATGGGGAACGGTTATGGTGGCCGGGTGGTTAGCAGTCAGGGAGGACGTTACCTGTACCCTGGGCATCTCCGGCGGCAGCTGGCTGGCAGGGGAGGAGCCCTCTGTAGCGTGGACCTTGGAGACAGAGCCGGGGAGGACATTGATCTGGACGGCATTGCCATGGAGGTTACAGGATACATGAGCGATGGAGATGTGTTGAGCAAGAACGCTGCACGCACTGATGATGTCACCAGTGGGTAAGTGGATTACACCAGTGGAGATTGTTAATCCTACAAACAGGTTTTAAAATTGGTAATTCTGAAAAAATCAATAAATTAATCAATAAATCTACCAGAAGATGATTACCTGATAGGAGTTATTTATTCATCAATCAAAAGTGCTGCAAAATTCTGGACTTTTCTTAGTGTGAGACAGCTTTTCTCTGTGTTTTACCATTGTAAATAGAATATCTTTAGTTTTTGTTCAGTTGATTTTGAGAAGCGCACCTGATTCCGTGTTCAGTCATCTGAAATCTGCAAAGTGACACATGTTCATATGATAAATGTACACTTATAGTTATAGCCAGAAAAAAAATATTGGTAGATAATCTGTCCTTTTGACGCCCTTTAGAGGCAGCGGTATTTCAGACATTGCCTATAGTGTAAATCTTTATATACAGCACCTGTGCTGGCAGTATCTGTAGTAATGCAGGAAAACTATGCAAGCATTGGGTGTTTTTCCTAAACCTTAACCTTTAAAATGTCTTACATATAATTTATTGAAAAGTTTTCATTCTAAAGTTTCTTTCTGCTACTATTATGAAAACATCATATTGTAGGTTTATAATTTGCTTTTTATGGTTGAAATATGATGTAATTGTTGATCATAACAAGTGAACACAACCTGAAATGATAAAATATTTCCTTGGAAAAAAGGGAAAAAATGAACAGTACCTTAATACTGTAATTTTTATGCAATTAATGTGACCCCATTGGCTTTGTGTTGTCTTGAATGAAAGCTTGCCAGAAGAGGGCAGTAGTGTCCCTTGCTCATAGACCTGTAATGAAGTGTCAGAGTATCCCACACTTTAGCTCCAGCAGCATTCTACTGAGCTCAGATCCCACAAGTATCCCATCTCTCGGCCTGCAGATGCAGTAACGCTGATATGTTGATGACCTGTTTATTGGCTTTCTCTCAAGGCCAGCGTCCATGTTGTAACAAGCCCCCTGCATACCTTGGCTGTCACACTGTGCAATTTAAACCTCTGCTTATTGTTAGATGGAGCTGTAAAAGACACCAACTCACCTTCACATGGCAGTGGAAAACCAAAACCCAAGACACAAGGATCTGGCAATAGGTCAAGGATTAGTTTGCATTAAGATGAGTGTAAATGTAGAAAAACCTCTACAAGCTTAGCAAAGCAAGTTGATAGAAATTAAAAACCTTATATCTCTTAAAATCTGGAATGGAAATTACTTCTTCTGGCCCCCATAGATTTGCACTGATTCACCAGCCCCAAGGCAGCTGTAGAAGTCGAAGGAACTACAGTAAGTGCTCTTGCTCAAAGTGCTTGATATGTCTGAATCCGTGGCTGATCAGACAAAGGCCAAGCCACAGTCACACCTGGACAGGTGATTGATGGGAACAGGTGAACAGGGGCATTTGCGGGGTCAGACCTGTGAGAAAGGCAAAATATAGATTAGAATAGAGAATGTTGTGATGATCTGAACTTGTTCAGGCTGCAACTAAAGATTATTTTTCTTTTTTTAATTAATTGATTAATTGATTCATCATTTTGTCTAGAAAACGTAGGAAATTCAAAGATGAGCTGGGACATGCAAATGTTTAGCGTTTTTACTTGATGAAAAACTTAAATGACTAATGACAGTTATAGAACGTGCCAGTTAATTTCTTGTCATTTCGACACTCTAGTACACGTAATAGATTTTATGATACTTAATGAAGAGGTAATGTTGTTTTGAGCTGGATTTGATATTTAAATTGTGGAAGCTTGGGAATTTTTGGGAGAAGCTGTGCTATAACCTGTCACTACATGTTGTGGCACATACTGTATGTGCTTGGTGCATGTATTTAATCCTCTCAGCTGTGAGAACACAAGGGATGGTTTTACGGATGACTGGCAAAATGTGCTTTTATTCAAATGGAATTGATTCAGTTGGGCTCCTTGTGTTGGGTGGTGAACCTGCAGTCTTTGTCTCTATACAGTATGTGTTTGTGTATATGGAAGGATGTGTATGGGGGTACAAGCATGTAAGCGTGTGTGTATGGTGGGTGGAGGTGCCCTGTGGGTTAGCCTTTTAAAACAGACACAGACTGATGACCTCCACCTCCTCTCTACATCCTCAGGCTGTTTAGTGGTTAGCTTTAGCACAGGCCTGTTAGCATCCACTAACTGGTTCTTCCACACAGTGTTGGGATGTTTACCCAGAGAGGAGGAGCTGGCATTTGGATTACAGCAGCAAACTCTGACATTTAAACTCCTAAATGTCACTTACAGGGTCAGTTCACATGTCTAACAAAAGAGACGTATTGTCTGCCTCACGGTATTTAGCCATGCGGATTGTTTGGGTTCTGTTTGTCCAGGTTTTGAGACATCTGTCTCGGAGGCATCGACTTCCGTCGCAGTATAATGGGGGTGTGTGGAATTAAATTTAGGGTTCTCACATTGTCAGAATGACTTTTCAAAAAAAAAAATCAGTCTAGAAATAATGTCTGTGTTACTTTGAATTATCCACAGACCCCACTGTGAAAAACTAGGTCCAGTGAATCTTATGAAGAATGTGTTTTCAATGCTACAAGTGCCACAGTTTAGGTTGCATTCACCCTAGCTTTGAGCCAGAAATCTTTGGTGAAATCAGTACATCTTAGCAAATATCTGCTGCATATATATGCATATACTTCTAGTGTTAAATGATAATTAATGTGTGACTGGCTTGATGTGCCCCTTTAACTCCCAGTACAATATAATCATGGATGAGAGCCACAGTAAAATTGCCTATAGACATTTCTCTTGCTGAAACAAGTAGATTAATCCATTAGTTGAACAGTACATTAGATTAATAGAAAAACAGTTTTGATAACTGATTGTCATTTATTAATAGTCCATACATTCACTAAGCAGTCACTGTTTTAGCTTCTTAAATTTCAGTGTTTGCTGTTTTTCTGTGTCTTCTGTCATTGTAAAATAAATATTTTTGGGGTTTTTGATTGGGACAAAACAAGAAATTTCAAGGTGTCACCTTCTGCTGTTATGATGCAGTTTATTCCACTATTTTCTGACATTTAACAATTTGGGAAAAAAAGGATAGATAATCAATAATTAAAATAATTATTAGTTGCCAGTCCGGACATTTCCAAGCCATTAAATTCTAAGGATTTATATGTCTTGATAGTTCATTTATTATCCTCAGAATCTCAAAACACAGACAACATGACTGATGACGGCACATTTAGTGTGTGCAATGGTTTTCTCCAACCCCCTTCACTCTTTTTCTTCTTGGGTTCTCTGGCCCTTGGAGACAAGGCCTCCCCCTCCCCACCTCCTTGACTCGGGGGTATGTTGCACGATCCACTCCTCTGGCCTACCCCTCCCTTCCTTCCTCTTCTTCCCTCCCATCCCTCCTGCACCTCCACCTTCTACAGACAAACCCAACCTCCAGTAAAAGCATGTGGAGCTGAGGAGAAAGGCTGCATACCGACACACACTCAGACATTACACACACACATGGGCGCATAGTCTTAAACAAAGAGTTCGTTGAAGGTAACCTCTCACTTCTGATCACCATGATATAGCACGCTCTCTCCTGGTGATATTATTCACTGAACAGCAGCGCTCACTCACTGGTTCAGGCATAATAACATACAGTATCCAGCCGGTTGGAAACAGAAACATCTGCTTTGGAGATTTTTATCAGCAGGGATCAACTCTCACCTGGACTCTTTTGCTTTGGACTGACTGTGTTACCATGTGTGAGGCAGAAAGGTACGTAAGAGTGTTTTAAACAGAAACCCGAGGCGAGCTCCTCCTGTCTGGATCACAGTGTATTCATTCTGTGTCAAATACCTGCAGTTATATTTTCACTAGAACTTTGGCTTCAGTTTGTGTCACAGCAGTGTAAACTCCACCTAGCTGCTCAGCATCAGCCCGTAAACTGTCTTGTTTGGACACGTTTCTCCTGCAGCAGAAGGTTACAGGTTAACAGTCATCTGAAACCAGACAACAGGGAAGTTCAGTTATTCATTAGTGTGACAGAGTAATATGTGACTGTGCACGTCCATCTTCAAGGTGACTTTGCTTTGAGATGATGAGTGTTTTCCATAAGGGACAGCTAACCCCCCACAGAGCTGAAGACCCCAGCATTCTTCATTCTTCAGCTCTCTTCTTTGTCTGTTGTCTCTCGTGTTATTGTGAAAATCTGCTACACAACACGTGTTTTATCAGTGAAGGAAGTTTTCATTGTTTTTTTGTCTTTGACAAACTGTGTTTTTCTTAAAAAAAAAAAAAATTATGGATTAATCTGAAATTTGGTGGTCCATTGCCCGTTTTATTTAACTTTGAGGATTTATGATTGTAACTCTGAAGCATAAGGTAGGTTTATTTATACTGCCCATCTTACCGCAAAGTTGCAAATGCCTGACATGATATCTTATGAACAAATAATGAATAACAATAGCATGTAAACAGAAAAACCCAGAATGATAGAACTCATTTTTGTAATTACTGATGAATACTCAAGGTTCATAAGAGCATCTGAGAATAGGAATGTTTATAGTCTGGATTTAAAGGTGGTTAAAATCAGCCAAGCCTTCTTTCATTTTGAAGTTTGCTGTCCTGTAGCTATTTGGTGCATGGTCACAAATGCTGAATCTGCACGCCTAGTTTGGACTCTTGGGAATGATTACCAAACCACTACCAGATGACTTAAGGCAGCAGACACAGCCTTTATGCTGCTTTGATGTTCTGAGGAGTAAGTTCAACATCTGGTACTAAAACCATGTTACCACAAAGAATAATCACCTAATGCTACAGCCTCCCTCCAGAGCTTTTTAGCCTCTTTTACCTCATTGTTTCCTCAATTCCAGCAGGATGCAAGAGGCAGCTTTTTTGATTAAAAACTCTGATAAACCCATAGTACACTACCTAACCAAACGACACACCAAGTTAACAACAAGCTGGTGAAGAAATTAAATAGCTAGATGCTAAAAAGTCAGCTATTTTTGTCAAGATGTTGGTAGAGACCAAAACAGAGCTAAAAGGAGAGTGAATGGACTTTAATTCATCAGGTGGACACAAACATACATTTAAATGAATTCTAATGTTACTGTGGATTTGATGAATGTGTAAGTATAAATTACAACTTTATAATTCAATTCAATTCAATTTTCAGTTCAACTTTATTTGTATAGAGCCAAATCACAACAAAAGTCGTCTCAGGACACTTTACAAAGTAAGGTCTAGACCTTACAATCATTATTATTATTATTATAGAGTAGAAACCCAACAAGCAAGCACTCTGTGGCACTGGGGAGGGAAAACTCCCTTTAACGGATTAAACCTCCGACAGACCCCGGCTCTTGGTGGGCAGCCTTCTGCCTTGACCGGTTGGGGTCAGTGGATAAAGGAGAGAGAAAAGAAAAGCAACAAGACTCAACAAACATAATGATAAGCAATCAAACACCGAGCATGTCGATGTGGCCGTTGACTGCTCATCAGAAATCTACAGCTCCAGAGCCAGGGATACGTACAGAAAGATACAGGGAGAGAGCGAGGACAGTGAAGTGCTCTGTTGGGATGATAAGGCACTATGAGGTCTTCAAGATACGATGAAGCCTTGTCATTAAGGGCTTTGTATGTTAGGAGAAGGATTTTAAATTCTATTCTGAATTTTACAGGGAGCCAGTGGAGAGAAGCTAATATGGGAGAGATATGATCTCTCTTGCTAGTTCGTGTCAGTACTCTGGCTGCAGCATTTTGGATTAACTAGAGGCTTTTTAGGGAATTATTGGGACATCCTGATAGTAAAGAGTTACAGTAGTCCAGCCTGGAGGTAACAAATGCATGGACCAGTTTTTCAGCATCACTTTGAGACAGGATGCTCCTGATTTTTGCAATATTGCGCAGGTGAAAGAAGGCAGATCTAGAGACTTGGTTTATGTGTGATTTAAAGGACACATCCTGATCTCATTCATCTGGGTTCATAGACAAATATAACTGAGTGTCATCTGTGTGTCAAAGTTGAATTAACAGAATGTTCTGCTGCTCCCAAGTGGCCAGTCATTGCGACTTTGAAAATTATTAACTTATAATCAGAATTGTGGCTCAAAATACTGTAAAGGCTGCAATTTGTTGCACATCTATACAGGTTTGCTGTCAGTGGACTGTCTTCTGGTTGCTGAGGTCTGCAGCTCAGATGCTGAACGTGTTTGACTGCAGGTTAGACAAAGGACCTCTGTCTATAAGAAACACTGTACTGGTTGTATACTGTATATACACCTAAGTATAAATGTGTGTTTTCTGTGTGTGTGCTGGGCTCCCTCTTGCTGAGATCTGCATAGAGATAACACAGAAAGGTTTTTGTGGTCAGACTCTTCCTGGGCTTATTTTTCTAGTCACTTAACTGCAGAAACAGAATCATCACAGTCCCACACAGAAAGCATTCACAGTTTGAAAGGTCCAGGCTCAGCGTTAAATCAGCAAACATTTCATTAGATTACACCCTAGCTAAATGAGTCAATGTTTAGTTCCATTAGGGATAGCCTCCTCTGGCAAATATTTGGGGAATTAGTTAGAGTTGTTATAGTTTGAATGTGAATGTTTGTGTAAGCGTTGAGAGCCTCAGCTCAACTTGCGACTGTAACTCCCCGTAACGGTTAGTTTCTGACTCTGACGACCAATAAATCAAGTCCTTTCAAAAGTAATTTCCTGTTTTGTAATAAAGTGAATGAACTATTTATCCTGAACTTGCATTAACAGTGTAAGTGTAGCTTCTCTTAACAGTCAATAGTAATATCCCAGCCTGGAGCAGAAACTGGACTCAGTGAAGCTGGAGTCAGTGATGAATGACAGTGTCCTTCGTGTACAAATAAAGAACAGACTCATCCTCTGTCTACTGAGCTCCCTCTTCTGTTAAAGAATGCTGTTGTTTACCATTTGGCTACATGCAGGAAATGTGTCTTTTCAGTCAGATTGTTTGCTGTCTTCAGTGTTTGTGTGGGATCTTTTTGCCAACCCTTTAGCTCTAATTGATGAGAGCTTGGCCTCAGCCAGAAAAAGAGATGGATGTGGGTTTCTCCTCCTCTATATACAACAAAAGCAGCTCTGAGAAGAAGAACGTAGGCTATTAACTCTCAAAATCTTAAAACAAAGTGTGGTACTGCTTCAAATCATCCTCTCTGAGCCCCTAAATTGTGTACTGTAGATATGCATTATGGTGCCTGTATCTAATGTATTGTGTTTTGCAGCTATATGACTGACGGAGGTTTGGGTCTGTACACACGGCGCCTGAACCGCCTGCCCGACAACATGGCCGCCGTCAGAGAGACGCTCCATCGAAACATGTCGTCAGGACAGGGAGATGCTGACAGGTAGGTCTAAAAACAATCCCATAGACACATTCTACCCACTTGCTGTCTTACAGTTAGAGGTGATCAGTGTGTGACGTTCAGTTCAGTTCAGAAGTAACTTTGCCTTTTCTACTAAGGACTGTTGTGCACCTTAAGACTTGTTTGCAGGAAGAATGGCACAAAATTACATCTGACACACTTAATCACTTGGCGTCCTTAGTCCCTAAACCTTTTAAGTGTTGTGAAAAGGAACGACAACGTCACACCATGGTAAACGCTTTACTGTTCCAACTTTGGTTAGAATGTGTTGCAGGCATCAGGATTGAAGTGAGTGTTTATTTTGAACAAAAAATAAAGTTGATGAGGTGTCACATCAAATAATGTGCTGCTGTATTGTTTTCACAGTAATACAGGACTCAGATGATTTACAAATCACTGTTTTCAGTTAGAATTTTGATTTTATAAACCATCTCAATGTTTTCTGATTTTGGTTACATCTCCTACTGAATATGCTGAACTTGATGTGTTCAGCTGTGGGAGTTTGTCATATAGCATAAATATAGTCAGCCAACAAGTTTGTGAACATGTCTTGTGGTTGTAATTCAAAAAATATAAAATAGTTCTATCACACTGAAGGTATAGATATGTTGTTTCCTGTAAGCTGAGACAATGTGGATTTCTCTTTTGGTGTCATGCAGCTTTAGTTGAAATCCCTGTGAACAAAGTAGTTCGGGGGGATTTAAATGGATTGTAGATGGGGAAAATCATCTGATAGCACAAAAGGTTTTTATCACAGGTATTGGTGTGAAAGGGAGTTCAAAGCCAAGCTTTTGAGCAGACAGTATAGAGAGCAATGGTTAAAATGGCACAGTGGAAAACTGAAAAGCATCTGAATCACCATCATACTCTGTGTAGTGCATACTGTTATCAGACTGTCATAATGTTTCATCCTGAAAACATCTTGCTGAAATGGAATGTATTAAATAATGAAAGAAATGTCTTTTGAGGCTTTGACTCTCTTTGCCTCTTGCTCTGGGTCTTACCCTCACTTTCTGTTTTACCACTTTATTTTATAGAATAAATCCGTCCGTATAATCCGTCGCGGTGCCTTAGATCAGCTGATCAGCTTCTTCTGGAGGCACCAAGGGCCAGGCGTAAATCTAGGGGGGATAGAGCCTTGGTGGGTCCAAACCTGTGGAATGCTTTGCCTTTTTATATTAGGCAGGCCCCCCTCGTTGTCTATTTTTAAGTCATATTTGAAGACCTACTTGTATTCATTGGTGTTTGGCCAGGAATGAGACTCTGTCTGTAGTGTTAGTTTGTTTTATTGTTTATAGTTTTTTATGTGATGATTTTAGATGTGTATGGTATGTTAAGCGCTTTGGTCAGCTGTGCTGTGGTAAAGCGCTATACAAATAAAGTTGAGTTGAGTTGAGTTGAGAATGACTTTGCATAGATTTTGTTCAGACTTGCACACAGAAGATGTGATGCAACTGAGTTTCGTGCAAGAGATGACACTGCTGATGCAGAAACTGATCCTGGACTTTGGAGAATAGCTTTGAGATGCACGTATTTCTGTGGAGATTTGGGAGAAAAGCTGTGGTCTTTGTCTTGTCACAGACATGGAGAGAGATTGGGTTCCTATTTAGGAGAATAAATGGCTGGAGGAGAAACTGAGCAAGACAAGGGCCTAAAACAGAAATATACAAGGTGAATGAATGTCTCCCCATTTTAAGTCGAGATATCATCAGGTTTTGATGTTTTATTTGTTACGTTTGTTGCGCTTTAGGACTAGTGATGTGTTACACAGACAGACATGCTGGTGTGTCTTGAGGTAGTTTCAAGTGCCCTGAGCAGGCTTTTCTCTAAATCCTCTGGTGTGGCTAATTTCCTGTCTTTCAGACTTTTGACCTTTTCCCCCTTGCTGCCTTACCCAGCATGCACATGTGCACACACAACACACACACACACACACACACACACACACACACACACAGTCTTTCATGTTAAACTCCTCCTGGCCTTAGATGCAACTTTACCAAACTGCCCTTTTCCTCAACTTTCATCTCACCTCCTCTTTTCTCATGCAGTGCTCCATCCTTCCTCTTAGATTTTCTTTTATTTTGTTTTGATTAGAGAGAAGAAGCTGGATAGCAATTAAATGGTAAAAGTTGGGGAATTTCTCTCTTTTTTCCATTGGATGTTACACTTTCATGTTTCCACATGAGGTTTAATGGAACAAGTAGGCGAGTTATGTTTCTCCAGAAACTTTGCATTTCTGCTTTCATGGTTTTCAGACAGCTTCATTATCACTTGCATAAGATTAAAGTGAAGGGCAAGGAAAGAGTTTTAAGATCAAGCGGGGGATGCGGTGATTCTTTTCCCCTGGAAGGAATGTCTGATAAATGTGCTAACTGATTTTAGTTTGGGATTAATTAGAAGAGCTGGGGCAGATAAAAGACATTAGCATAATAAATGGAAGACAGTGGAGCTGGAGGGTAAAGAAACATTACTAGTTTTCTGCTGTAAATGCTCATTTTATACACGAGAGGGATTTAATGATGCAGTTTGGGCAGGTTGGGGGGGGGAAGGAAAGGAAAAACATTTTGTGGCTTTTGAGTGTCACAGTTGAAAGTTTGAGCTCAGAGGTGTTTGCAGTCTGTATTTGCTCACTGGGCGTGTGTGATCCATCTCTAAACCTGCTAAATGTCATTTTTTTACATCCTCTGTTTTGTGATGCAGCTGAGCCTCT